ATGGAATTATTTTTATAAGCCAAAGTGGGGCCCGTCAGAAAAGGTTTGGGATCCACTGGTGTGTGTGTGTGTGTGTAAACAGCCTACGATGTTTTTAGTCCTTCTTTTTCAGTTATGAAAAAGGTTTCCTTTAAATCGTGCAAATTTTAAGTTTATAATTCAATGCAACAAAATAAATAAATTTAAAAGGTGAAAGATAATACTTATATTACACACTGCAGTATTTCACCTACGATTAATGCCCCCCCAATGTAGWTGAACAGCCCTGACCTAATATACTTCCTGCTCACAAAGAGGATCGTTTGTTTGGAAAAGAGGCTACAGTGTTGGTTTTTGATGAGTCACGGGGTCATGTGAACATGTTTGCTCCAGGGAGATCCAAATTTTCAGTGTCTCACAGTTTTCCCTCAGCTACTCTAGCTTGATAAAAAACTAATATTCCTTGTAGTTTTTAACAATACTTGCTGTTCTGTTTCTCCAGGTGCTGGGTCGGTGCTTTGTCACGGTGATGCAGGTCCATTTCCAGTTCCTGTCACAGGCTCTGCAGAAGGTCCAACCTGTGGCCCAGTCCTGCCTGGCAGAGGCTCTTGCCCAGGCCCAAGAGCGTTGTGCCAGCTCCCGCTCCCAAAGCTCTGACCTTGGGCCCCTAACAGAACTAGAAGAAGCCTCTCGCTCATGGAAGGGTGCAGCTCAGGTATGCAGCCTTTACCTCAGGGCTTTTCCAGGCCTGGGACTTGAAAACATGGTTCCTGTCAGTCGGATGTGAACAAACCAACTTGTCAAACATTCACAAGAAATGCTTGCTGTATGATTTCCAGCCACAGTTTACTTTTTCCACTTAGCTGGCCCATAGCTCATCTATAAACCTGTGTTGCTATGAATCTCCAATTCCAATCTGTGTAAAGGACCTTACTAATCCTCAGGCTGGCTGCCTTTTGAGAGAGGCAAAAAGAAGAGTAGTGAGTTGATTGATCTGTTAAAACCAGGCATGTAGTGTGTTTGCCCTGGAGGAAATTAGGGCTGCCTAWAGGATGACAGCATAGTGTATTTCAGAAGCTACACCCTATTTTTTTTTTCAAATAGAAACTTTTTTCTTTCTTTAAAATTTGATCCCACAAGATTTCTGTGGTATTTCACTAAGAAAAAAAATGCAAATTCTAATTTGGCAGATCATTTATTACTTTTGAGGTTTTGGTTTTAGTGAAAGAAATAGAAGTTGTTCATGTTCGTTTACCGGCTGTGTGCTTACTAATACGGAGAATGTGCAAATGCATGGAAAGAATTATTAAAGAGTAACCATACAAAACCAAAGAGCACTTTTGGCTGACGTCTGTTTTATTCGAGTCACCAGGAATTCAGCCCGAGTATCAGGAAGTCCATTCAGTTTTTACATAAAGCTTCAGGGCGTGGCTCTGCCTATTTGATGACGTCAGGGGAGTCCTTGCCATTTTGTCGAAGCCATGCCTTTAAACATTAAAATCTACCCTAATGAAGGATTAAATGTCAGATATGTGTTGAATTTGKTTCCGGCATGTAGCTATTAATATAAAATCATCAAGTTAAGCAAGACAGTCATATTTAACAACCCTACAGTTCTGTCATAAGACTATAGCATGTGTAGTGTAATTAAAATCAGTACAATAACCTAATACCCAATAATTTCTTCAGTAGTGTTCTTCGGGTAGCTCCGTCTCAGAGCTCTGCTGTGTCCTGTTCTGTCGTCAGGCTACCGGAAGGCTGAGAGAGAGAGGCCGGGACGGCTGCCTGGCAGGCATCCAGGTTCAGCAACTCTTTTGCTCCAACAACACTAGCATCCCCGAGCACCAGCTGAAGGAGCTCAACATGAAGATTGACAGTGCWTTACAGGTACAGTTTCAACGTACTGATCAAGCCTGTGAAGCCACTGAAGATGTAGTGAAACACCCTTAATTTAACTGGTCACCAAGAGAGTAAGGTCAAAGATATGATGTTTGAACGCTGCTCATGTTTCCACCCAATGCAGGCCTACAGAGCAGCACTGGAGAGCCTGGGCCACAGGGAGTATGCACTCAAGGCAGGCTTTCATCACAACCCCAAAGCTGTGGAAGAAGCCTTACAGGTGGGTTGAAAACTTGCAGAGCTGTAAAGTAACTAAGTATAAATACTTCTTACTGTACATAAGTAGAAATTTTAGGTATCTGTACTTGAGTAATTATTTTTCAGCCTACTTTTTACATCTACTTCTTACATTTTCACACAATTATCTGTAATTTCTACTTCTTACATTTTTAAAAAAGGAAAGAAGTAGAAAGTTTCATTCAAGTTTAATTTCATTAATTATATTATTGTATTTGGCTGCAGCCCTCAGATTTTTATTTTGGGGGAAATGTTTGGGCAGCCTTGTTATATGTATATAAACTGAAACAGCTGGACTAGTGCATCCTAAATTTAACATAAATTAATTATTTTAATACGATACAGTCATTTCTGCATTTTTTTGGGGAGGTCACCTCCTAATAAATGTCCTTACAGAAAATCTAACTGCTCATTGTAATCAATGTAATCAATACTTTTACTTTTAATACTTAAGTAAAAAAATATCAGATACTTTAAGACTCAAGTAATATTCCTACAGAAGACTTTAACTTTTACCAAAGTCATATTGTGGTAAGATAATTGTACTTTTACTCAAGTATCACTTTGTGGTGCTTTATACAACACTGAAAACTTGTAAGATTAAGAAACTAAAGTGAAAATGATGTTTAAGTTGGACTGTTTTAAAAGGGATTCTTTGAAATTCACAATGTTTTAGTTAACAGCAGGTTTTTATGTTAAGACCCTGTCACACTATTACGTTTTAGGCAACTTATGCCAACTTATGAAAAGTTTGTCCAAGACCAAAGATGAAGGTGGAGTTTAAAAAAAATCTACTGGAAGCCTCTTTTGGAWATACAGCTGATAGGAGTAAAACGTTCATAACAAAGTCTTCATAAGTTGTCTAAAACGCTGTAGTGTGACAGGATCTTTACCACTTCAGGTTAACTCTTGTTTATTTGTGGGTAATTCTCATGATGTGTTTGTACGGTTGTTGTGTGTGAACAGGGCTGTTGTAGTGAGGCAGAGGCTCAGCAGGCGGGCAGGATGCAGACCACCTCCCAGCCCATCCAGTGCGAGCTTCCCACCATCCCTGTGCAAATTGGCTCACACTTCCTCAAAGGAGTGTCCTTTAATGAGTCAGCAGCTGAAAACCTCAAACTGAAAACGGTATGCATTCTTTACCTCTAAATATCAGAATTTATTCATCTGAATTTGGTGCCAAAATTATAATTCTGGACAGCAAAACAAACAAAAATGCTCTGTTTCAATGTTAACGGTAAACGCTTCAGTTTTTTTGTCTGTAGTTAAACATTAATAAATGCTAAGCCGGTTGGTTTGTTGATGCCCCTCTGTGTTTTATGTTCAGCACACGATGCTGCAGCTMATTAAGGAGGTGCTGGGTCAGAATGGAATGACTTCCAGGGACGACTCTCCGGTCACCGAGGTCCTCAATCAGGTTTGCCCGTCCAGTTGGAGAGGAGCTTGCAAGACCTCTGTCCAGCTGCTGTTTGCCCAGGCTGGTCTGGTAAGTAGAAGTTGTAAATTGGAGGGTTGGTATGCTTTTACAGTGAAGGTGTGATGGAATAAATACACGTTAAAAAAATCTTGTTTCTAAAATGTGAGCACTTTTAAAGGATGTTATTTGAGCTAGTTAAATCTCAGTTATATTATCTGCATCTTGTGGATGGAAAAAGATTTAAAGGGTCCTGTTCCTAACAGGCCTGTCATATTTTATTCACACCTCTGTAGTTCTTTGTGTCTGTCAAGGTTTGGCAGATCCAGATGCTTTTCATGCCTTCTTGATGTAAACAAACACCCAAGAGATCAAAAAAGAAAAGGAAAACATTCCTGTAACATCCGAACCAAGGATAGTCTAGCCTGGACGGGTCTGCAAACACACTCTCCCCCTCCCCACTGTTTCAAAAGAGAGTCAGCAGCAGCAGTCTCCTTAGAGTAACATCAGTTTGTTTATTCTTTTTTTTTCTTTCTTTTCTTTGTGTGGTCTCCCTGTTTGGTATATTAAAACTGAGTGTTCCCATCCAGCCTTCCCAGCACAATGTTAACTGTAAAACAACCCTTGGATGATGAATGGGTGCTTTGCATTTAACCCCTTATCTGAACGTATCACCACTCAGCTCAAAATAGATCACCTTCAACACACACACACACACACACACACACACACACACACACA